TCTTTTAATTTCATGGCTGCAGCCACCATCCACAGTGATTTTGGAGCCCAAGATATAGACTGTCACTGTTTCCACTTTCCCCGGCTTTTATTTGCCATGAAGTGATGGGACTGGATGCCATGCCATGAAGTGATGGGACTGGATGCCATATATATCCATATATATATATATATATATATCCATTCATTTTTAACATAGAGAAGTTTGGGAGTAAATATGGAAATGTGGAGGTTTGAGGGGCCAGCTGAAGGGACAGACTACAAAAATAAAGGCAGTTTCACTAAGTACAACATGTGCTCAAGAATAAACATTTCTGGAACAAGGGGAATCAGATCCTTTGCGGAGGAAGGCACAGCTTGTGAATATTCAAAATGGAGTCACAAATCCCCAAAGTCCTGAGGTTTTGCTATATTTTAATGAGACTGCTTTGTCAGCACCTGATACTGCTATTGATATCAATATAGAACATTTCTTGTAGGATGGAAGGAAAGGGGAGAGGATGGTGTAAGAAGTGGTTTTGGTCCAAGGGGTCCCTGGGAGAGGCTGCTCTTGGGAATGGTGCTAAAGAGGATGTTTTGGAGGGCTGAGAACTAAAGATGCAAAAATTTTCATTTATGGTGTAAGAAAACAATATTAGACCTTTCTATTTATTTTATGTAAAATGTAAGAAAGAAATTAATCTTTATTGATCTTTATAAATAGCCCTTGCCTTTGATGTGGTTGACGTACTGTGTATGATGACAGGGTTGGCTGGGGAGAGGTTGACACTCTACAATGGAAGCATCCTCATTCTCTCTTTTGTCTTCAATCATCATAACATATTGCAGATCATGTGTTGTAGGATATCAACAGGATATTGAGTTCCAGGATATTGTGATTGATTTTATAGAAACAAGGCTTTAAATAATATTATTTGTGATGAAAGGGAGAGTGAATGACTTTGAGAATGTTGTACTACACAGAGGTTAATTGGTGATACTGTAACAGTAATTAAAAGAGTTGTAAAATTTCAAGTTTTTCTTTTGAAAAAAGACAAATGTCCCCAGTTTGGTGATCTTTGCAGTGATGGAAATAGCTGTCAGGCAGTCTATGTAGTATAAACATATAAAACAATAGACATAGTCTATTCCTTCAAAGGTGGTGTTCACAATAAGTGAAAAACAATGAATTTTTGCAAAATAGTCCCGTTGGAAAGAAAGCATTTTGAGAAGGGATGTTTGGAAATGTTGATATCATGATTAGATTTTTTTCTTACCAAAATGATATATCACCTAGAAAAACTCTCATGTATGCAAGAGATACATTTAAATTTAAATACATTTAATATTTTCCCAAATAAGGAGTTTCAGTGGGGTTCGTATCTCTTTGTTGAAAATATAAAATGTGAAAGTGAAGTGAAAGTGTTAGCCACTCAGTCATGTCTGACTCTTTGTAACACCATGGACTATAGTTCACCAGGTTCCTCTGTCCGTGGGATTTTCCAGGCGAGAATACTGGAGTGGACTTCCATTCCCTTCTCCAGGGGATCTTCCCAACCCAGGAACTGAACCCAGGTCTCTGGCATTGCAGGCAGATTCTTTACTTCTCACTGCCCTAGCAGCAGGAAACTAGGTTAGTGTGAATTGTTCAATAGAAATAGTTATTCTAGTTCAGTAGGAAAGATTAACTTTTCCTTCACCAGAAATTCATAGAAGAGTTTGTTCCCTAGGCAAAGGATATTTGGCTAAACGTTTTGAGTAAAAGTTTTACAAAAACCCATGTGACTCTTGCAGAAGAGAGATCATTAACTCATTCTATGAAAATAGCTTCCCAGGATAAGGAAGAAGAAGACTGATATAGTGTAGATCGGTCACTTTCTGGTGGCCTGACTTAACCTAGGTTAAACTTAGAGGATCTTGAGGGGTGAATGATGGACAGAATCCTAGGCCCAGGCTCATGAATATACATTTTGTCAACTGACACAGATATAGGGAGACAAAATTAAATTCTCTAGAAGATACCTGAAAGCCAAAGATTCTCTATTATTGAACTAGAAATGTTCATATCATACTAGATACCAATCATGTAAAGAAGGATGAGATGTTTGGCTAAAAGTTAGGGAGTCTGACTCACAGTTGAATCATTATGGGGCTGGACTATGAGAGAACTTATAAGTTGGGGCAACATTTTTCTCAGAAAACTAGCCAAACACTAGAACAAGTACTTGATAGGCACCCCACGATTCTGGTCCATAAAAGATGATTGATGAACTTTAATGATGGTGTGTTTTTTTTTTAATGTAAGTACAGTTGATTTATAATGTTGTGTTAGTTTCAGGTATACTATTAGGTTGGTACAAACAAACTTGTGGTTTGGGACCATGAATTGTAAATCATTATAACCAGACTTAAACACATCTTTATTAAGCAAAATAGGGACCATTACGATCAAAACATTTTTGCCAACAAGAAATAAGTTTGTTTTTTCCTGTAGCATCAAAGTCTGTGCTTCAGGGTTCAACGAACTCTTGGAAAGCATTTTCTGCTTACCGCCAGTTGTAAATGTGTTTTTCCTGTAAAAAGTTGTCAAGATGCTTGAATAAGTGTAGTTAGCTGGCAAGAGATCAGGTGAATGTGGCAGATGAGGCAAAATGTTGTAGCCCAATTTGTTCAACTTTTGGAGTGTTGATTGTGTGACATGTGGTCAGTCATTGTCACGGAGAAGAATTGGGCCCTTTCTGTTGACCAGTGCTGGCTGCAGGCATTGTGGTTTTCTATGCATTGCATTGATTTGCTGAGCATACTTCTCAGATGTAATGGTTTCACCACTACAGAAAGCTGTAGTGGATCAGATGGACAGCAGACCACCAAACAGTGACCATAACATTTTTTGGGTGCAAGTGTGGCTTTGGAAAGTGCTTTGGAGCTTCTTGTCAGTCCCACCACTGATCTGTTCATCAACAATTGTCATGTAAAATCCACTTTTCATCACATGTCACAATCCGATCAAGAAATTGTTCATTATTTTTACGTAGAATAAGAGAAGATGACACTTCAAAATGATGATTTTTTAAATTGTCAGTCAGTTCATGAGATGCCCACTTATCAAGTTTTTTCACCTTTCCAATTTGCTTCAAATGCCGAATGACCATAGAACGTGGATGCTGAGTTCTTCAGCAAGTTTTTCTGTATTTGTAGAGGATCAGCTTCAACGATAGCTCTCTATTGGTCATTGTCAACTTACAATGGCCGACTACTACGCTTCTCATCTTCAAGGCTCTCATCTCCTTTATAAAACTTCTTAAACTGCCACTACACTGGGCCAAATGAGTTGATGTTGTGAATTGTCTCTGCTGCTTTATGACCCATATTGAACTCAAATAAGAAAATCACTTGAATTTGCTTTTGTCAAAATCATTTCCCTAGTCTAAAATAAATATAAAATACATAGCAAGTAGTAAATCAGCTAAAAAACATAAAGTGAGAAATGTGCATTGAAATGATGTATAGCATAACCACACTTATTTAAGAATGTATTCCAATATCAAATGCAAAGTTCAACACTGCAAAACTACAATTACTTTTGCACCAACATAATACAAAGTGATTCAGATATATATTTTATTTTTCAGATTCTTTTCTATTACAGGTTATTATAACACATTAAACATAGTTCTCTGTGCTAAACAGTGGATCCTCATTATTTACCTATTTTATATATAGCAGTGTGTATCTGTTAATCTCAAGATCCCAATTTATCCCTCCCCCAGCCCTTTTCCCTTTGGTAGCCATTAGTTTTTCTCCATCTGTGAGTCTGTGTCTGTTTTGTACATAAGTTCATTTGTATCTTTTTTTAGATTCTGCATCAAAGTGATATCATATGATATTAATGGGGGTGTCTTTGAGTTCAAGAGAACCAAATGCCCAGTACCATCCTAGAAGAACCTTATAAATACTCCTAAACAGATTTTATTTTAAACAGATTGTGTTTGGATGAGCCTTCCAGGGTAAATTAGCTACAGAATGGGGCCCCAGACATTTAATTGAGAGAATCGTCTTCATATCATGGCTTTGAATTCTTTGTCTGGATGCTCTATTCTATCTGCTAGAGTTGATAGAAGAGGTTTTGGAAGGTAGTTTTTAAATTTTTTCTTGAGAATGATCATTCACTATTGACTCAGGAAATATTTGTGGGGTGCAGTCTGTGCACTCATTCATGACACTGGTTAAGCTATAACAAAAGTCTGTTTACCACTCAATAGGCTCTAGTTCTTGGGAATGTTCTAGTTCTTCAGTTTTGGAAATTTCAAGAAAGGAAACAGGAGGGCTGGTCAATTCAAGGGAATGGTGGGGACTGAGACGAGGAAAACTTTTTGCCCTCTTGTTCATGGTTCTTCTTAATGGAACACACATGCTTTGTTAGTTTGACATATGTCACCCCCCCATTCTTCCTAATAGTGTATATCCCTAACCTAAGCGACTCCATCTAAGTCATCCCGTTTCTGAATCTGCAAACAACTCTTTCTCTAATAACTTTTATGGACTTAACGTATATGCTTGTTGGCTGGTTCTTGCATTATTTATGTGGTTCAGATGGGTTCTTATAACTGTCATGAGCCTTAAGCAATGTGTGTGCAAACTGATTCTGATCTATTTTCAGCCCTAAAGGACTGGCTGATACTTCTCAGTTTCTTACCAACAGTAATTTAATTCTTAACAGATAAATTATTAACATTTTGAAAATGTTAATTTTTTTTTTTTTTTTGGTATTTCCTTTCCTCCCCACTTTTAAGGCAGGTTTAACAACTTACTTTCATCCTGGAATAAACTTAAAGAAAATACATTACTATAGCATCAAACTTTATGAGAAACTGGAAGAAGAAACTGGACAGGTAAATGCATTTAACTTGAAATTATCTTTTAGGTCAATTTCTGAGATACAGAAGATTACTGAAGGATTTTGATATCATCATGTTTCACTGTTTGTAGTGACATCTACGGCACGTGAAATGTCTAATGTGGTAGAAGATTCTGATGAGAGTTTAAGATGAGAACCTCTAGAACTTACTTTTCAATCAACTGAATTTCTTGAAGTATATTACCCATGTAATTACCTGCTCCTCTTGATTTTTTAAATGAGAAGAGAATAAAAAGCAGTCTTTAAAAATATCTTTGGTCAGCTACTATATCTGGAAACTAAGAAATTAGAGCCTTTCAGCACTGGTTTGCAAATGATCTGATGATCATACATGCCAGATTGTCACATGACTTTGAAAAGTGCTTCCCTTAAAGCCTCTTACTTTTATTTTCATCTCTTCTCATTTGTATTAGTACTTCAAAATAAAGTGGCAGGCAGAGAGTATCCATAGACTAAGACTGACATCTACTTAAAATTTTCATGCCATTCCCCTTGCCTAAAACCATCACATGGCTCCCCACAGTCTACAGGACAAAAGCCAAGGAAGAGGGGCCTTTATTGGCTAAGCCCTGCCTGCCTTCCCAACATTTTCTCTTGCCACTCTTTGCTACGCTTATATGCTTCAGCTATTCTTAATTATGTACAGCTCTAGAATGATCTGATCTCTGTCCCTGAGACAGTATTCCCTCTGGTCCCCATTTCAGCATCACCCTCCACCCTCCCGGGAGTCGTCTGCTTTGAGAAGCCATCACTGACTTTCCTCACCCAGCAATCAGACAGGACTGAGAGTGCATCTCTTGGTTCTAAGAACATGAGTGTACAACCCTCTTATAATACGAATCTCTCTCAACTGTGGTTGTTGCTTTAATTACTTTATTGAATTGGTCTTTCCTACAGACTCTGAGCAGGTTGAGGATAAGGACCGCATCTTTGTGACTCTCTTAGTTCTTCATTGCTGTGTGTGGGCTCTAGTTGCTGCGAGCAGGGGCTGCTGTCTAGGTGCAGTGTGCAGGCTTCTCAATGCAGTGGCTTCTCTAGTTGCAGAGCACAGGCTCTAGGGCATGTCGGCTCAGTAGTTACAGCTCACGGGCTTCGCTGCTCCACAGCATGTGGAATCAAACTCCTTCACTAGCAGACGGATTCTCAACCACTGGGCCATGAGGGAAGTCCAAGGACTTCATTTTTTATCTCTGTCACTCAGGGCCTTGCTGAATGCTTGGCCAAGTCAAGAACTTCAATAAATGCCAAATGAATGTTTCTTTCAGTTCATACTTATTCTCCTTGTTGCAGCATTCTAATTCTTCATGTTCCCTCTTCAACTTTTTCTTTTTTCACATAATTTTCTTCCACTCTGCAGATGAACGCTATCTCATGTTGTAATTATGCATTTAGCTATCTGTCTTTACCTGCAGACTGTAAGCTCCATCCAGGCAGGGTCTTCCTCTCTCTTGTTCACAACAGCATCTCTAGGGGCTTAGCATGGTGCCTGGTACAAAGAAGGCACTTAGTGAATATTCCCTGAGTGAGTATCTTTTTGTATGAGGCAAACATGGTGTATAGTTATCACTATCATGAATAGTGAATCTCTTTTCTGGCACTTCTGCATTTACATTGTGCTGGAGAAGAACCATGGTTGAGTGCCAAATCATGATTTACTTACAAGTTTTTATTGGCATCATTGTCGCAGGTGGTGGGATTCCATCAGCCAGGTAGTATCAGAATTGCTACAACTCCTGTAAGGGTAGATGAATTTAAATATCAAATGACTCGAACTGGCTGGCATGCAACAGAGCAGTATATTATTGAACCTGAAAAAATTCAAGAAATGTTTCCTTTACTCAACATGAATAAGGTATTTATCTTAAGGGCATTTTCACTATTTGTTAATTTTAATTAAGATTAGAAAATGTTATTTTAGAAAGTTAATTAAAAATAGAAAAACTTTGTGCATACATTTTGAATGACAAAATCAGATGTTTAATGCTGAAATTTGGGTAAATGACAAGGTGGGATATTATGTATGTTAAATAAAGTAAAAGTAATGAAAAATCTGATTAGTTTTCTACCTATGACAACCAAAGAAACATTTTCAATACCTCTCTATTACTGTGTCCCTCAGATCTAGAGGTTTTCATAATAAACCTTCTGCTGAGACATGCAGAGAAAATAACTGGGTGTGATAAATATATGTGTAGAAAGAATGTATTATTAATTTTTTTATAAAATCAAAGATAGAAACACATGATATACCTAATATATATGCTACACAAATATCACCTCGCTCATAAATGAACTAGCTTGACAATCTCTGTGTCAGGTATTGATCTAACCAAATTTGGCTGAGAAAATCTATTTGGATATTTAGTGTCTTTTTGCTGAGTGATAATCCCTTTTGAACAATGACTAATACTGCACTACCTAACACTATAGCACATAATTATGTACTAGGTATTATGCTAAGCCTTTTACATGTATAATCTCATTTAATCTGCACAATAAAAATAGGAGGCATTTGGGCTTCTCAGATGGCTCAGTGGTGAATAATCTGCCTGCCAATGCAGGAGACACACAAGAGACATGGGTTTATTCCCTGCGTCAGAAAGATCCCCTGGAGTAGGAAATGGCAACTCACTCCAGTATTCTTGCCTGGAAACTTCCATGGACAGAGGAGCCTGGCAGGCTACAGTCCATGGGGTCACAGAGTCATACAGGACTGAGCGACTGAACTGAACGGAACCAGAGATAGGACCTTGGCTTTGCTATTCTGCTGGCCTTACCAAAAGCCCTCTGAAAGGGCCTGCCTTCACTACCTGGTCTAAAATAAGGCTTTTCCTATCTCATTTCTCTGTCACAATACATGCTGTTTGTTTCCTTCATAATTCCTTTCACAATGTGTAATTGTCTTGTATTTTTATTATCTGTCTCCTCCCACTGCAACTAGTATGGATGCTCATGAGGGCAGGGATGTGTCCATCCTGTATAGACTGCTGCATCATCAGGGCTGCCTTAGTAAAATGCCAGCACAGAGCAGGCGCTCAATAAATACTGAATGAATGAAAAACTCAGGAGACACATATTTCTGAAGGATTTTTGGATAATTGTGAGTCTTTCCTATTCTATACTATTTTTCCCTTGGATCAAATTACAGAGAGCTATGCACTTGATACAGTGTTTTAGTGTCTCACTGAATTGCCTTTTCTGAAGTGTGCTTTGGTACTGTGCCACCAGCTTTCTTTTACCAGTGATTACAATTGTAAACACAGGAGAATATCTTTGTATTTTTTTTAATATTTTATGTATTTATTTATTTGGCTATGCTGGGTCTTAGTTTCAGCATGCAGGATCTTTCTTTAGTTTTGGCATGACATGTGGGATCTAGTCCCTTGATCAAGGATCAAACCTGGGCTGCCTACATTGGGAGCGTGGAGTCTTAGCCTCTGGACCACTGGGAAAGTCCCTCTTTGTATTTAAAGTAGGGATGTTGTCAAGGACATTTTCAACTATATTACATACCTCTCATGAAATACACCTATAGGAAAATTCTTTCTTAGGATAAAAGTGTCGTAAACAATGGGTTTGTTTTTATTTTATGCTCACTGAATCTTTTTAAAAAATAATTTTCAGCATTCTATTTTTTAAAATTTTTATTTATTTTTGGCTGCACTGGATCTTCATTGCTTTGCTTTGGCTTTCTCCGGTTGNCTGAGTGGAATTTATCCCTTCTGCTGGGTTAGTTTAACATCTGAAAAATCAATCAATGTAACATTGCATAAATAGAATAAAGGATAAAAAATACATGATCATCTCAACAGATGCAGAAAAAAAATTGACAAAAGCCTCTTGTCCATACTTGATACTTAATAGATTTTTGTTGAATAGATGAGAACTAGCTATATATTTCAGTGCTCCCACCTTGTTTCATCTAAGTCAGATTCTTCTTTGTTTCTCCCTCAGTATCTCAAGCCCTAGCACAAAATAGGAATTTAAGAACTAGTTGTTGAATGCCTGAATCAAGTACACATTTTCCTGATAGCATTTATATATTTAACATGTGAATTTATTAATAGTATTAAATAATTAAATATAAATAACTGATCAATTACTATTAGCTTTGACTACAAATGTCAGAAACCAAAATAATAATGCTTAGACAGAATAGGTGTTTATTTCTCTTTTATTTAGGTAGTCCAGGCTTGAATGGTGACTCTTCTCCATGAAGATTTCAGGGACCCAGTTGCCTTCTAAATCACTGCCCTGCCATTCCTAGGATGTGGCTCTTTTGTTCTTATTCCAAGATGGCAGCTAGAGCACCAACCATCATATCTGCATCATAGACAGCAGGGTGGAGGAAGGGACAAAGAAGGGACAAGAGGCATGTGCCAGTGGTCTTTTAAAAATGATTCATTGATCATGATACTTTCCTTTGCATTTCATTGACCAGAATTTAGTAACAGTTTTAGTTACCAGCTGGAACTAATGGCTGCCAACTATTGAACACTCTTTGTTCTTAGTGTTTATGTGTCTAAAACAATGTTTGTCTTCCATTGCTTTCTGGGGGAGGGAAGAATGAATGTTGGAGACAATTGCAAACCTCTTTCAAATAGCTTATTTACTTAGCTCTACCTAGGTCTGAACTTGGACAGGGAAAATAAAGTGAAGATGGAACAATCTGATGCCATGATGCATTTTTAAAGTTAAGCTTTACTAAATATTTGCTGGTAGGATGCTGAGTGAGTATATATATAAATTCATTTGAATATTGACTCTTGTATGATCCATTTAGATTTTAGCTGGACTGTATAATCCTGGAGATGGTCACATTGATCCTTATTCTCTAACTATGGCCCTGGCGGCTGGGGCTAGGAAATATGGTGCCCTTCTAATATATCCTGCCCCAGTGACTTCTTTGAAACCAAGGTCAGATGGAACATGGGATGTTGAAACACCACATGGATTTATGAGAGCAAATAGAATTGTGAATGCTGCAGGTAAGCATCTTTTCTAATAGTGGGATTTTTTTTTGTTCAAGTGGCAAAGAAATAAGATATTTAGCTATAAAGTAATGTTTTATACTCTAAACATTGTTATGAAACACCGTGATGCTCCCATGTTGAACATTTTGTCTGTTTCTAAGCTACAAATCTCTCCCTCCATCACCTTGTTCTTCATATCTGAGATATGACTCTGTCCTTGGTTATCCATAAGAAGTTGGTTTTCCATCTTACTCTGTTCCAGGTCATATTTTGCCAAACTATGCTTCTTTTTCCTTCCTAAATTTTTGCCTTCTTTACAATAATAAGCAAATTCTTTTTTTTCCCATTTATTTTTATTAGTTGGAGGCTAATTACTTTACAATATTGCTGTGGTTTTTGCCATACATTGACATGAATCAGTCATGGATTTACATGTGTTCCCCATCCTGAGCCCCCCTCCCACCAATTTCTAACGTTCAAATTCATGAGCATTGTCTTTTTGCTTTTTAGAGCAAATTTGATCATTTGTATCCTTTCTCATACATTTCGATTACTTGACTCTATTCAAAAAACTTTTAACTCATTGAATGTATTGCATAATCTTTTCTTTAGTTTGCTTTGTTGCAATTTAGACTCAGAATGTTGAAGCCAAAAGGGATATTTGAGATAATCTAACAACTCACTCATTTTCCATTTGTGAAGATCAAAGTCCAAGAAGTTTAAGCTTATTGCAAGGTGACAGTTATGCTAAATTGGCAAAATGACAGTTATGTCAAAGCCAAGACTTGAACCTGGGTCTTTGGATTCTTGAGCTAACACATTTTCTATCAGGTCCTTTGCCTATGAAGTAATTTTCAAATAACACACTAAAAAATAAATTCTTGTGCAAATGAAACGGCTTGTGCAGTCTAAGCTGGGCTATTAATTTATATTTACCTATGGTGCATAATGGTTAATTTAAAACCTAAAATAAGCATGAGGCAGCTGTTGATTTTCTCATGGTCTGCTCTTTGAGTCATTGCTTATATTTACAAAGGGAAAACAACCTTTATATTTATCAGATCAGATGATATGCCATGAGAACATGCCAGAAGCAAGTACTCTTAGGATTCTTTCCTTTAAACTGTATCTTCTGTTTGATGTTATTTTTTTAACAAAACATTTTTAGTGGCCCTGGAAAAAGTAATGTCTTCAATATTTAAGAGTTTATGTTAGTATTTCTGACTTTTTCTAATCCATGCTCCCATTTGTAAAGCTTAAAAATCTCATTCTTTGACATCATTTGAAATTCTAAATAATGTAAGATGACTTGCCTAAAAAATAAAAGCAAAAGCATGCTTTGTTTTTGAACTTCACTTGCCCTGACCCCAAGGAAATCTCCATCAGGAACCCCCTCCAACCCCCCACTGTCCTTGGGCACACCTAGTCTAAATTCTGCCAGAAGATATAAGGCAACAAAATCATTCCTTCTCTTTTTCCAAGTAGCAAAAATTCTTTGTCATCTTGCAACTTTCTTTATGGTCTCATGAATTCAGCCTCTAAAAACATTTCACAGTTTTCACAGTGATAGTAAATACTAAACAGACATTCTCTGACTTCTTATCCAGCACCTGTGACAGACATTGCTCATTGATCACTGAACTCATTTCAGAGAGACTTGGACAAACCCCATGATTTTTCTTAGACAGTGCTTCAGACAGCCACATGCTCTCAACTGTTTTGAGAAATAACATAGAAGACCTTAATTTAACACATTTATCTATTATTTTCCTAAAATGGATAAATACTTATTCATACAATTCATTGCCATCATAATATTTCTTTTTTCTAAAGCACAATTTGTGAGGAATAAGGAATCACTGAAGAGAAAGAATAATTTCCAAAGAGATCTGACCTAAGTCTAGGACATTTGTTACCAGACGAGGTATTCTGTGCGGCTGTGCAATCTTGTGGGGTGGCCTGGGCAGAGGAGAACAGGGCAGGAGGTCCTGGAGAAGTATTTCTGGTGTTGGCCTCAAAAATCAAATCCCAGAGCAGCATCAGAAAAACTGTTCTTCAGATGTCCTGCTTCTGAACGCCTTTGCTCCGGATGCCTTTAACTCAGCCACATCTGAGTTCCATCCTCAGGTCTTGATAACTCCAGGTAGCTCCTGTTCACAATTGTATGAAGAGCTGTGTGCTTGGGCACTTGGTTGCTCAGTTGTGTCTGACTCTTTGCGACCCCCGGGACTGCAGGTCGCCAGGTTCCTCTGTCCATGGGATTTCCCAGGCAAGAATACTGGAGTGGGTTGCCATTTCCTCCTCCAGGGGATCTTCCCAACCCAGGTACTGAATCTGCCTCTCTTGCATTGACAGGCAGATTCTTTATCACTGAGCCTCCTGGGAAGCCATACAAAGAACTGTGTTGTCTCAATTCTCGCTTCTTTATGCCATTCAGATCACATCTCAGCCCCATATCTTTTTTTTTCCCTTTTTCTTCTCCATATATTTTCTTCCATTGGCAAACATTATTGGAGAAAATCTAACTTATCACATATTAGTAGTCTGTGAAAGGTATGGAGGAGTGTGTGCTTATTTATGTCTGTTTTCAAAAAAAACTTTTACTTTAAAGTATGGAAGTTCCCCTAAATATAAGCCTCAGTAATTGGGGGTGAAATTTTGGACATACCCTCTTCTATACTTAAAGCTAGCAATGATTAATTTTATGAATAAAAGCAACCATCTGCAGAAGGCATTGTGCTGACATGATTTAGAATGTGTGTCTGATGGAATGTTTCCCAGAGTTATTTGGTGAGACCAAGATGTCTCATAAATTTCAGAGCTAGCCTTCTGGCAGCTCTGAAACCTAATTAACATCACTGGGATATAGACTTGGAAATATAACCAAAATGTAAAAGATGTAAAGGCCACTATTAGTTACTCAACTGTACCATAACCTGCTAAACGTTTCTTTACATGGAGTCATAACAGAAAGCTGCTGAGTCTTCAGGATACCACAAAAAGGAAGTCTAAAGGCAAAATTTGTCAGTTTGCTGATGTATCTACAGCACTGTCCAGGGCACTGGGGCTCTCTTGACCAGAGACACATTATTGCCAGCTGTGTGACCTGGGCAAGTTACCCATTTGTAAAACAAACATGTGTGTGAAAGTGTAAGTCACTTAGTCATGTCTGACTCTTTGTGACCCCATGGACTGTAAGCTGGCAGGCTCTTTTGTCCATGGAATTCTTCAGGCAAGAATATTAATTGCCATCTCAACAAGTTATTATGATCAGTAAATGAGCTAATACTGTTAAGTACCCAGATAAGACACTTCCCTAGTGGCTTAGTTGGTAAAGAATCTGCCTGCAATGCAGGAGACCCAGGTTCCATCCCTGGATGGGGAAGATCCCCTGGAGAAGGAAATGGCAACCCATTCTAGTATTCTCGCCTGGGAAATCCCATGGACAGAGGAGCCTGATGGGCTATAGTCCACAGGGGCGCAAAGAGTTGGACACAACTTAGCCACTAAACCACATAGAAAGCACTAAACAAATTCAGTAGAATAATGATAATTTTGATTATTATAGTTATTTCCTGGAAGGCCTATGCCCTGGTCTGGGAAACACTAGCATTGAGTATATAGCTTCTTGGTACCAGCCTTAAGATTTCCACTCCTTTCAGTTGCTCTGCGGTCACCCAGCACACATTCTGCTGGTAACCTGACTTCCCACAGAGCTTGTTTTTCAAGCTAGGTGCCTAAGAGTCACCATGAGAAGTTTCCCAGGTGGTCTGGCTCGGAAGCTGTATTTTAAACAAGGCCCCAGGTAGGACTGTCTGTCCCAGATGAACTGTAAATATCTTTTGAGAAACACTGCTATATCAGTGTTTCCAGTATATCTTGTTCGTACAGAGGAGGGAATGTGGGAAGCTTTTTGTTGAGCAAGCAGAGCCGAGGAACTGTTTCGCACCCTGCTGACCTCTTGGTGTGCAATAGGCTGACCTGCCTTTAGTGCTGCTCTGAACACGGCTTTGCTCATCCTTGGGGATCCAGCCTGAGCCCCAGAGCAGGTCAAGGGCAAGGGCAGGAGCTATTTGCTGTGATGCTTGATGATGAATGTTTCTCTTGACCTCATTTCCAATCTACTCAGTAAGCCCAAGTTAACTCTGTAAACTTTACCTAAGAATTTTCCTAACACGGTAAATCAGAAATGTGACTGGGTCATGCCAACATGAAGCCCAGTATTCAGCCAAAAAGAAGTGCTTAATTTTGTCCAGGCTTTGCCTCAGAGAACATCACTATCATTGTCACTGTATAAACCATCTACTAGAAGTAAACCTGTCCACACACCTGTACTGTTTATTTAAACTCCATTTCTATTAATCACTGTGTTTTAAAAATAGAAGCCATTTCTAATGGTCATTTTTATTGACTCTTCTTTTTCAGATGATAATGGTAGATTATAGAAGATTCCTCCACACTTGTTTCTCTTCCCTTTGAACTTGGTCAGTGAGTGATCTAGCAAGGGTTAAAGTGTAATCCTGGCAAGATTTAGGTTAACTTGATTGACATATAGAGGAAGAGAATGCCAACAAACACCACCACAGAGTAGGGGAAAACAGTGTAGGGCTTGCCATGGGGTTTGAAGTAAGATAGTTATATGATACTTATCCACTTTATTTTAATGATGAAGTATATTAACAAGCAAACAATTAGGTTCAGAAATTTGTAAATATGTTTGAGTAGGACAGAGTTTATTTTCTTTAATTTTTGTTTTTAATTGAAATGAGCATATTAACTACTGCAGTGGTTTGAAATGCTAGGCTAAATATTTTGGCTTTTTATATTTTAAAACTGCTCCAGTGCATATAACTAGAACAGGTGGCTTTACTATGTTATCCTACAAAGTCCTGATATTGGTAATCTATATCTTTCTATCAGCAAGAATAAATTAAATCTTTAAATTATTTAAAGACCAGCAGGCAGCTCTATTGTTCCCAGGTAAGATTTTTGGTTTGCAAATGGACTCCCATTTCTGTTATCCAAGTGTGACCAGCTTAGCTGTTAGGCTAAAACAAATCAAGAGAATCCAAGAGTGATGTTTGGATGTCACATAAGAGAACATCATCAGGGTTCTCAGATTCAACTAATAATTTGTGCCTAGCTCTGAACTTCATAGTGACAGAGACTTCAGGACTCCTTACCAGGTTGCCTCCCACCAAGAAAATAACCAATAACAGCACCCAGAAATAGTTAAAAGTTTACAGAATGCAACCTCTAAAGAAATAACTTGGGGAAGATTCCCTAATCATTATCATTCAACATTATTATGAAGCAAACCAGCAAACGGGACCCACCATCCCCCCAGTAAACCACTGGTGGGTCAGGTGGCCCTGTATCCCTGACAAATAATTGCTTTTGTCATTTTAGGTTCTAAAGTACCTTTATTCAGTTGAATATGTCTTGGATTTTTAGAATAGTCTTTCTGTAGCCAGAAAACCAATAAGATGTGACCACTCCAGAGGCTCCCAGTGTGAGCTTGGGAATGTCTCCTTATCATTTTGGACTTTAGCTCCACATCTGTAGACTGGAGAGTCACTGGGGAAGGGAGAGAATCAAGGGTCCTTTCAGCCACAACTTATCTGGCTCTGTCTTTTGCAATTAGAACAAAGTAATATTCGTTTCCCCCAAGACGTCGCTCCCGTGCACACTGTGAAGGGAGAAACAGGCTGTGGGAATGCTCACTTCCCTGTGGGCCCGCTCCCCTTTGCCGGGCACCGCCTCCCTCCTGCCACGGTGCCTTCCGCCTCTGCAATAAAGGGCCTTACAGACATAGCCTAACTAAACTTTTAATATAACAGAGAATTTAAGGTGTTATCTTTCCCACAGTATATACATTTTCAAATTTTAAGTTGACAGAACAATTCTGTATTTGTAAGAATTTTAGGCTCCAAGGATTTGGAGAGACGAGAGTCTGGGGGATAGAGGGCTGACTAGCAGGGTTGAATTTTCCATATTATTATGCTGATCACAGCTACACAGGGTCTCTTTCGTTGCCTGACCTCCCTGTTGTACAAGTGAGGTCAGTCCATTACTGTCTTTTTAATATTTGTGACAGTTTATATATTTGATTTGTTTATTTTTTCCTTTTTCAAAGAATTTTTTTGCCCCATACCTTTGCTTATGGGCAAAATATTTTTCAGGAATGGAGTTCCCTTTCTTCAGAACTCTGGGGTAGTGTAAAATATTGTCTTCTCTTTCCCCATTCAGTTTTGCAATGACAAAAAGTTTAAAGTTGTTGTGGGCATTCATTTCTTAAAAGTTAATTTTAGGGAAGTATAGTTGCTTTTCAAAGTTGTGCAAATTTCTTCTGTACAGCAAAGTGATTCAGTACATATATATACACACATACATTCTTTTTCATATTCTTTTCCATTATGGTTTGTCACAGGATATTGAATATAGTTCCCTGTGTTATACAGTAAAACCTTGTTGTTTATCCATCCTACACATACCAGTTTGCATCTACTAACCCCAAACTTCCCTTCTGTTCCCCCCTCCCCTTTCCTTGGCAGCCACAAGTCTATTCTCTATGCCGATGAGTCTATTTCTGTATCATGGATAAGTTCATTGGTATTGTTATGACATTCTTTAGATTTTGCCATGAGTATTACATTCTTTAGATTTTGCCATGAGTATTGAATTCTTCTAAATATTTTATTTTAATTGAAATAGCCATATCAATGGCATCTGTGGTACATTTTTATGTGAAGTGACATCTTCTAATACTTTTTCTTATTTCAGGATTTTGGGCTCGTGAAGTAGGTAAGATGATTGGACTAGAACATCCTCTCATTCCGGTTCAACATCAATATATTATCACATCGACCATCCCTGAAGTGAAAGCTTTAAAGCGAGAACTCCCGGTGCTCCGTGACCTGGAAGGATCGTTTTACCTCCGACAGGAAAGGGATGGGCTTTTGTTTGGTCCATATGAAAGTCAGGAGAAAATGAAAGTTCAGGACTCATGGGTTGCCAGTGGAGTCCCTCCAGGTGGGTTCAGCAAGTAGAAGCTTGTGCAGGTCAGACACATATATGTTGTCCTTCTCGTTGCTCTGGGCTGTTTGTAGAATAAGATGATAGATAAGATATGATAGATATAAGATAGATAAGAATATGATACTAGACTATCAAATAGATACCTGGAACATTGAAAGTGAGGGGTTTGAGGTAAATTCTGCTCTCATATCCCTTTGAACAATCACAGCAGGGAGTAAGGAAAGAGAGTTGGTGTTAGAACAGCTGAAAAAAAAAAGTGCTCCCCGCTGCTTTGGAAAGCCCCAGGTAATTTTTACCTGGCCACACCAACCTCCTGCCTCCCCACTTCCTTCTCACTTCTCTGCTTACTTGGTCAAGTTTCTAGATTTGTATACAGCTCCTCTTGTGCTTTGACAGTTGGTAACACAACAGGTATCAGAGATAGACATGCAACCTGTTAAGAATGGAAGCCTTGAAATCTACAGCGGAACAGGATAGGTTGGACTGCAAACTGAAGCTCTCTCCTGCTGCATAAATGGATGTGGAAAAGGCTTAGGCCTCCATGCTAACTCTGGAGGTACCACAGTTTCTCTTTTAAATTCTGTAAGGGAGAAAAGAACCTGTTTTATTTATTTACTTTTATTTTAAAAAAATTATTTTCATGAAACTTTTCTACAAAGCCAGATGAAGGATTGGGTCACCTAAGGAGGTATCTTGGGTTTTAATCTATAGAAGGAGCTAAAATGTCATCGGCACACAAATATTATAGAGAATATGAAGAAATGCAGGTGGAATGCTTTCTGGAATTATACTTTGATAAGCTGCTTGGGCTACAGAGTGAATCCCTCCCTCCTAGTCTTCAGAGAACATCTTTGCCCAGTTACTGCACACGGTAAACCAGCTTCCACAGACGTCAGGCCAGCCAGTTAAGGGCTTGGCTTTGCGGAGGGGGCTCTGCAGGTTTGGGCCTGAGGGGAGCAGCTCCGATCCCAGAGGGAGGGCTGCACTGCCCCCTGGGGGCCCACCCCTAGGTCCTTCCCCTGTGCTGGCAGCCTCTCCTCCACACAAAGGTTGAACAAATATTTAAACAACTCTGGTTGGAGGAAGAGCCAGACTGTTGGCTGGCCCTGGGTGCCCACAGGCTCGGGGCTAAGCCCGGTGATCTGCAGGCCTCCCTGACCCAGCATACTGTCCACAGAGGAGCAAGAAGGGGCTGGCTGGCTGTTGTGTGGGAACACCCCCAGTACGGGTGGAGACATTCTTTTAGCAGCTCATCTGTGGCCCTGCCCTCAGTCACCGCGCCCTTCACGCCGGAGGAGATGACTGTGTTCCAAGGTCTTGACTTCTCACAGTATCCTAGTCCTCGGTGTGTGGGGGGGAGAGGGCTTGAAGAATGAGGCCTACTTGCCATTCCTTCCCTGCTGAGAGCTAAAGTGAAGTGAAGTCGCTCAGTTGTGTCCGACTTTTTGCGACCCCGTGGACTGTAGCCCACCAGGCTCCTCCGCCCATGGGATTCTCCAGTCAAGAATACTGGAGTGGGTTGCCATTTCCTGCTCCAGGGGATCTTCCCCACCTAGGGATTGAACCAAGTCTCCCGCATTGCAGGCAGATGCTTTAACCTCTGAGCCACAAGGGAGGCCCCACTGAGAACTAAAAGGGATCTAGAATCCACCATCTGGATCTTAAAGTGGTTTTCCATTTATCCCCAGTGTCCTGAAACGACTTTATAAACTCCCATTTGCCCTCACCTGAGAGGATGAAACAGAATTTTATAGTTAACTGAAGGATAAAAGATCTCTCTTGACAAACCAAGTTATTATTGTTGATTTTTAAAATTGTGATCAGATTAAATACTGGAAACTGCTAATATAAATAAAATTTTATATTATAAAGGTTACCTTTCATGATTTAATATTTCAAGAAATAACATTATTATTCTCAGTATATAATATTGTAATATAACAATACTCATCTGGTGATAGTGAATATTAAGTATAGAATTTTAAAAGAAAAAAGAAAAGTAACTTCCTTATAGGCCATCTTTAAATGTTAGCTTGGATTCAGGGATTTAAGTCACTTTGGAACACATGTCAGGACAGGTGTGGTATCCTCACCGCAATGACATTTCTTTTTTTTTAAACTTTTTATTTTGTACTGGGGTCTAGCTGAAAACAATATTGTGATAGCTTGAGGTGGATAGCACAGGGACTCAGACAGACATATACATGTATCCACTCTTCCCCACGCTCCCTTCCCATCCAGGAGGCCATGTAACATTGAGCAGTGTTCCCTGTGCTGACCAGTAAGTAGGTCCTTGTCGGTTATCCACTTTAAATATGGCAGTGTGTACACGTGTATCCCAAACCTCCTAACTGCCCCTTCCCCCCGCCCCCTGATCCCGGCAACCGTAAGTTCCTTCTCTAAGTCTGTGAGTCTGTTTCTGTTCTGTCAGTAAGTTCATTTGTATCATTTCTTTTTAGATTCCACATGTTAGGGATGTCACACGATATTTCCACTTCTCTGTCCGAACACTGGCATTTCTTTTCAGGTTTTGGAAAGGAGCTCTTTGAGTCTGATCTAGACCGAATCATGGAGCACGTTGAAGCTGCCATGGACATGGTTCCAGTCTTGAAAAAGGCTGACATCATCAATATCGTCAATGGTCCCATCACCTACTCTCCTGACATTCTGCCTATGGTGGGGCCCCATCAGGGGGTCCGAAACTACTGGGTGGCTATAGGTTTTGGGTGAGTATCTCTATGTAGTTCAACATTTATTATAGAGTTACATATTTTAGAGAAGTCTTGCCCCATAATCTCAGGCCAAAAATGGAAAACGGGGGAGAGGCAGAGAGTTTTCTCCCTTTCATGAGCAATGACATGAAAGGAAAAAAATTTTCAGTCTTAAAACTTTGACTTGTATAGGTTTGACAGATTTGTTCACAGAAGGGCAGTGATTTCCTGGAATTTTCTCTTTGCTTATTTCTTGCCATTTCCATTATTTATGTCTCCTTTCATGCTGTGAATGTTCAGATAAATGAATCTGCCCCACTTTTACATGGATGTTTTCATAACACAATATGACAAAGATAATTTAAAATATCAAATGTGTAATATATCTGTTGCAGTTTTCACCATAATTCATATTTGTTCAACATGATTTGTTTCCTTATGATTACTCAAGCTACTTACTATTTATGGTTCCATTACCCATTTGATCTCTCATCTCTAACATTTGTCCCATTAATTTGGTGAATATTAATGTCAAGCCTATTCTACTGTCATATCACAGTTCCTAATAGTCTATTTTCCTTCCCCATTTTGTTTGGCCATTTATTCAACTGATGTTTGGTGATGGGCCAGCTTTGTGCCAGGTCTACTGCTGGGCACTGGGCTATAGCTGAGAAAAGGCAGGAAGTCTGATCAGAGGCACCAGCCTGGTTGGGGTGCTGTTCTTCTAGGACAACAGAGAGGTTGGGGTCTCAACTAAGGACGCAGCAGTGGGGACTGAGAGATAGGAAACAAAATTACTTAGATTTGGTGACAGATTGCATTAGGTCTTAAGGAGAGAGAAAACGGACAAATGATGGCAACCTTTCCAGCTTACTCCTGTAGTTGCTGAGGTCAAAGGAAGCAACAACCGGGAAGATAATGAGTTGAATTTTTGACAGTGTTAAGTTTAAGTCTTCAGAACATCCAGAGGTAGAAAACCAGAGGGAGCTATGAATCTGGAAGGTGTAATGGGACTGGGAGCCTAGGGAATCACCTATGGAGTCAATACGTAAGCCTGTGCATGTGGGAGTGTTTCTTTTGTGCATCCCCCGTATATCTTCTTTGGAGAAATGTCTGTTTGTATACTTCACCCATTTAAGAAATTAGATTATTAGTCTTTTTATTGTTAAGTTGTAAAAGTTCTTTATTCTTGATATAAGACCCTTATCTAATACATGATTTGCAAAATTCTCCCCATTCTGTGGGTTGTTTAATTTTCTTGATGATATCCACTGAAGCACAAAATTCTTAATTTCCATGAAGTCCAAAATGTGTGTGTTTCTTTTTTTTAATGTAGTTTTGATATCATATATAAGAAACTATTGTTTAATCCAAGTTAATGAAGATTTATACCTTTAGTTTCTTCTAAGGGTTTTATAGTTTTAACACTTACATTTAGGTCTTTAATCAACTTGAGTTAATTTTTGTATGTGCTGTGAAGTAGGTATGCAGCTTGATTCTTTTGAGGATAGTCAACTGTCCCAGCATCACTTGTTGAAAGACTGCTCTTTGCTCACTAAATAGCGTTGGCATCTGTGATGTCTTTTTTTTCTGACGCCACTTCTGACACCACCCTGTAGTTCTCCAGTTCTCTGACACCGAGTGTCCAACAGTTTCAATTCAAATCTGCCGCTCACTCTCAGAGTGCAGACCCCACTAGTTAAGGACTCAGTCTCACAGAACTGTCCTCACTTCAGATGCCCGTTTCCACTTCCAGGGATCACCTGTCCTTCTGAATGAATGGCTATAGATTTGGAGGTTCCTAAAACCCCTCCTCAGTTTTGATAATTCCCTAGAATGACTCACAGAACTCAAGAAAAACTTGCTTAGTTTTACCTGCTTATTCTACAGAATGCAACCCAGGAACAGTGCATATGGAAGAGGCTCGCAGGGCACAGTCTGGGAGGGAGGATCTTCTGCAGAGCTTTCATGAGCCTCTCTGGTGCATCATCTTCCTAGCACTTCAGTGGATTCACCAACCCACAGGCTCTTTGAACCCTGTGGTTTAGAAGTTGTTGTGGAAGCTTCATTACATAGGCACAATGGATTAAAACCATTGATCGCTCGTGATTGAACTTCTGGTGACCAGCCTCTATTCTGAAGCCTTCTGGTTCCCCTGCCCCCTCTCCATGGAGCCAACTGTTAGCATAGCATACAAAAGAATATAAATTCCAAAAGTTTTAGGAGCTCTATGCCAGGAACTGAGGACAGAGGCCAAATATTTATTTTTTTATTGTCCCACAGCATTCTTGTAAAAAATCAGTTTGCCGTATAAGTATGGATTTATTCCTGGACTTTCAATTTTATTCCATTAGTGTGTGTGTCTATTCTTAGGCCAGTACCATGCTGCCTTGATTACGGTAGTTTTTCACTAAGTTCTGAAACTGGGAAGTGTGACTCTTCCAACTTTATTCTTATTCAGTTTTGTTTTATCTATTTGGGCTTCTTATATTTTTGTGTAAAATTTAGGACCAGCTTGTCAATTTCTCTAAAGAAACCCCTAGGATTTCCATAGGGATTGCATTTTTGTAGATCAGCGTGGGGAGTACTGCCATCTTAACAGTGTTGAGTCTTATGATTCACACACAAGGGATGTCTTCCATTTGTTTGTGTGCTGTATGTGTGCTTAGTCACTCAGTTGTGTCAGACTCTTTGTGACCCCATGGACTGTAGCCTGCTAGGCTCCTCTATCCATGGAGATTCTCCAGGCAAGAATACTGGAGTGGGTTGCCATGCCCTCCTCCAGAGGCTCTTACCAACCGAGGAATCGAACCCAGGTCTCTGGATTCTTTACCAGCTGAGCTACCAGGGAAGCCCATTTGTTTAGGACTTTTAAAATTTCTTTCAACAATGATTTGTAGTTATCAGAGTGTAAGTTTTGCACTTCTTTTGCTAAATTTATTCCTAAATATTTTATTTTATTTTTTGATCCTGAAATTAACTGAATCACTGTATTCAGTGATCAAACCTGTATTGATTTAGTCAATACGTTTTGTGGATCATTGTTCTTTATCTATGAATAAACAGACAGGATACCTGGCCTCATGATATTTATACTTTAATAGAACACCTATTACTAAGGTAATTAGGAAGTTGCTTTCTTTAGATCACTAGTTACTTATCACCTAGACATATCTGCTTGTGTGGGTTTGATGTTGGCATCCAGCTCTGATTGTCCTGAGTAGTTTCCCCAGGTTGTAGACGCTGTGGGGTGAATGGAAGGACGACAGGTAGGGTCGGATCAAAGTGCCTCACTCTCTCTGGCCTAACCCCAAAAGTCATTTTTGTTATTTAAAAGTTGAGATTGCTGAAATAGTTCTCATGAAACACGGTGGAATGCTTTATGTCGACTGCCCCTGCCAGCTTATACCAGGGATCCAGTCCATGGTTCTGAAGGTCAGTGGTTTCCATATATGTGGCCGAGCACCAAAATCACCTGTTGTTGTTGAGTCACTCAGTTGTGTCTGACTCTTTGTGACCCCGTGGACTGTAGCCTGCCAGGCTCCTCTGTCCATGGGATTCTCCAGGCAAGAATACTGGAGTGGACGGCCATTCCCTTCTCCAGGAGCTCTTCCTAACCCAGGGATCAAACCTGAGTCTCCTGCATTGCAGGCGGACTCTTTACCACTGAGCCACCAGCCTTGTTAAAAAGCAAAATCTCAACTCTGTTCTTAGTTGCATGTGATTCATCCTCCTTTGCATCTTACCTATGAAATTCCTATTATTTATCTTTAGAATCCATGAAACATGTGTTGAATTGGAAAACCAACAAGCAAGCATATTCCCATACAACCCCCTCCTGTAGATTCTGATTCAGTAGTCTGGAGAGGGGCCCAGAGATCACATTTCAGTATTGTCTGTTATTCTAGTTCAAAGAATAGGTATTTGCAAACTGTCTACAGATATGTCAGTGCTCATTTTCATTACCCTAGTCAAAGCTGTTTTACTTTTGTCCCAAATATAGCAAGTTCTCCTGCTTCTAGTTGACTAACACAGTGCTTCCCAGATGTTTAATGAGTTGTTCTGAACTGAATCTAGTTATCTTGGCTTAGAACAGATTACAAACAGCAAATTTAAAGACAGGAGAGTGCTGTAAGTTGTAACGCCTGACAGTTTAACAGTTATCATAAAAAAGCAGACAAAAACACTCAGAAGGCATAGCAGCTGGGCCATGTAATAATGGGTTCTGCAGATAAATGCTAGACATAGAAGCCTAACTCTTCTCTCCTCATCGAGTTCCCTTTCACTTCCATGTTATACATTACTTCCTTATGAAAATCTTACCCACTGGGCAGAGGCATACTCTGTTGTTGGTTATACAAGGACCCAAAGCCTCCATGTGTATGCCTGCTCTATGCTTTAAATGCCACGTCGATTAATTCTCCACCAGCATCATAAAGTGTGCATGTGAGGAGACTAAAGCTCAGGGTGGTTACACAGCTTCAAGGCCACACGACGGGTAGTGGCAGAACCTTTCAGAATTACACTCAGATGCCTCTTACTTTGAGCTCTTCACTCTCAACCACTCCACCAGGGGCTCTCAATAGACGCTTCATCCACCTCAATAGATGTGTTGTATGAGATTTTACGTATAAGTTAATATTGGTTATAGGGCTAAAGTTTGTGGAAATTTCTTTTTTGCTATGTTTAAAAATGAATGACGAACATGCACGTACTGTATAGCACATGGAACTCTGCTCAGTGTTATGTGCCAGATTGGATAGGAGGGGATCTGGGGGAGAATGGATACATATATATGTATGACTGAGTCCCTTTGCTGTCCACTTGAAACTATCACAACATCGTTAACCAGCTATACCCCAGTATAAAATAAAAAGTTTGAAGTTTTTTAAAAAAACACATTTTAACATAAAAATAAATAAACAGATTGTACTCAGGATTAGCCTCAAGTAACAGCACTCTGCCCTCTTTATTTACTCATATGCATTGTTGAAAGATAAAGAACATGATGGTCTGGTAGTGAGTCTACGCGAAACCAAAGCACAACCCTGGCTATGCCCAAGGAGTCTGCCAAGGATATAAATTCTGTTATGTGTATCTTGGCAGAAAAAAGAAGTAATAACCATTAAAGAAGTAAAGTCCAATAACAGAGTGTATACTGGGGTCAGATGACTGAGTTTGTATCCTAAATCTGCACTTTGTTGTAGTGTAACAACCTTATTTAACTCCTGTGTGCAGGTTGGTTTTCTCACTGGTAAAATAGAGTTGCTAAAGCATAAATCAGCTGGTAGATGTTAGAGGGAAACAATGCCTGGTAAATGGTAAGCTCTCAGTGAATGCCAAAAGAACTTTATATAGTTTCAAGTCTTGTAAACAGTATCTCTAGCTCTCAAAAATGGTAACAGTTGTAATCACGCACTGGAACTGCTTAAGTGAATAAACATTTTATGCAAATAGTTCATAATTATTTTAAGCATATATTTAATTTGTTTTGCTTTCTTGATACTTAGTGAGATTGTTTGTGGGTGATTTGGATGAGCCATGTCTCTTCAAAATTATCTAGAGAAGTATAAATTGCTATCTTTTTATCCTGCTTGAGAAATGTCCCTATAACAAATACAAGCAAATATATCATTATTACAAATGATGTAAATCATTTTTATAAAATAGTAAAATTGGCATCTTGTTGTAGAAAAAGGTAGTTAGCATTTCCAGTCTTTGCTAAGTTCCTCCCATGTTTTTAAAAGCTTCAGTGCTGGCTAAGTAGTTGTCATCTGGGGTACTAGAATTTCTTGCATTTTCACGTTTGCTCATGTGGCTCCTTTTTGCTCCGAGTCCTCTCCCCATGACTACCTGCTCACCCAACTCCTTGAAAGCTTCTCTTGACTTAAACCACAGATGAACTACCCAAGACTTTACCCACAAGAGTGAGTGGGTAGAACCTCACATGGGTGACATTAAACCCCGATTACTCCATCTGATATAAAATTATTTGCCAGTTATGTTCTTGGTCTTTTAAAAAATAATTATTCATTTAATTTTGACTGTGCTGGGTCTTCATTGCACATGGGCTTTTTCTCTAGTTGCAGCAGGTGGAGGCTGCTCTCTAGTTGTGGTGCACAGGTTTCTCATTGTGGTGCTTCTCTTGTTGAGGAGCGTGGGCTCTAGGGCACGCAGGCTTCAGTAGTTGCAGCTTCAGGCTCTAGAGCACAGGCTCAACAGCTGTGGCTATGCTGTTCTGTGCTTAATCACTCAGGCGTGTCTGACTCTCTGCAATCCCATGGCTCCTCTGTCCATGGGGATTTTCCAGGCAAGAATACTGAAGTAGGTTGCCATGCCTTCCTCCAGGGGATCTTCCCAACCCAGGGATCAAACCCAGATCTCCCCCTTTGCAGGAGGATTCTTTACCTCCTGAATCACCCCATGGGCTTAATCGCTCTTCAGCTCTGCATAAGATCTGCAGGCATGCTCCCTGCTCTTAGTTGCTTCCCAGATCAGGGATCGAACCTGTATCTCCTGCATTGGCAGGTGGATTCCTCACCACTGAGCCACCAGGGAAGCCCGTGGTTTTGGTTTTAAAGTGTCTTCATGTGGATATAGAAACAAGCTAATCCTCCACACCGAGTGACTCATTGGTTGCAAAATACAGGAGCCATTGTTTCTCCCCTTCCTCCCCACAAGTCCTTGGGTGACTGTCTCTTTGTCTGTATGCCTATGATAATGGCCCAAGTCCTTGTACAGAGATTGCTGCTAAAGGGACCTAAACTAAACTGAGTCTGAGAAGGGATGGGTGTGCCACACCAGAGTGCACATATTTCTCTTGCAAGATTCTTATTAGCGAGAATAATCATAGCTCAAGATAAGGTACCAACCACATCTGCCTGTGTGCTTCCTTACCTCTATTTTCCTAGAGCAAGATCCTTACTAGCTAGGAGTCATAGGCTATTCTGCAGATATGCAGCTCTTGAAACTGTGGAAACTAACTAGTTATCAAGTCAGGCACATTTAATTTGGATGCTTAAACATTTTTTTTTTTTGGAAAAAGATGATAGTATAAAGATTATGTTGATTGTGTGTTCTGAATAGCATAGAACACTCCAGCTTTGAGGCCTTGTGAAATATTTGGACATGTTTCATTGCTGGAAAGTAATATGTGTTAATAACAGGGTATTTATTTCTATATTTGAAAGATACGGCATAATCCATGCTGGTGGGGTTGGGAAATATCTCAGTGATTGGATCCTGCATGGAGAACCGCCGTTCGATCTGATAGAACTGGATCCCAATCGCTATGGCAAATGGACGACTACTGAGTATACCGAGGCCAAAGCGAGGGAGTCGTATGGATTCAACAACATCGGTGAGGTGCAAACTCACTACTGTCTGTGAAGTGTGTTCAGAATTGACTTACAGCACCTCTGAGCTTAGGTGCTTTTTATTCTGTGCATCGTTGGGGAATGGTTAGGGAGTCTAAAAAGCATATGCTTCTAAAACAAAAAAAGAATCTATGTGAATATATATCTTTAATGTGAGGAATGCATCAGTGATTTTAACTTTTAAATCTATTTTTACTTTACCTTTGGTGATCATTTTGAATGATGGTTTTGGTTTCTTGAAAATATAAATTTAATATGTATTATTATATATGCTTATATATTAAGCTTATATGTTTATTTTACATATATGCTATGTGTATATATATGTATATATATATCTGCATACATATAGCTTCTGGATTTTGAGTACTGTGCTTTCCATTTTCTGAATCCCTTCAGAATATTTTGTAGTTTTGGTTCTATGCTATTTAGAGTATGGGTTTTCCTTTTTCAGTTGGTTATCCTAAAGAAGAACGATTTGCTGGGAGGCCAACTCAGCGAGTCAGTGGGCTTTATAAAACCCTGGAGTCTAAGTGTTCCATGGGGTTCCATGCAGGCTGGGAGCAGCCACACTGGTTCTACAAACCAGGCCAGGACCCTGGGTACAGGTAAATGAGTGGTTTAACCTACCCGTGGCTGTGACTGCAGAGTGAACTTTGGGAGTAGGATGAAGGGACTCTAGAGAAGCACCATATCCCCCACACTGGCTCTACAAACCAGGCCAGGACCCCTGGGTACAGGTAAATGAGTGACTTAGCCTACCTGTGG